CTGTGGAGGAAAAGATGGTGCAATTAATTATATATTTATGCAACTTTAAATATTCTCAAACAACTGTCAAGTGAATAATAGAGCAGAAATGCCAATGCACGAGAGAGCAGCATTAAAGTGACATATTTATACAAAGTTGGTGAAACATATAACTGCTGAAAGGAACTTCAGTTTTGGTTGTAAATGGATGTCTTCACCTGTGGACAAGTTTCTTCACCTGAGGACAAGTTTCTTCACCTGTGGACAAGTTTCTTCACCTGTGGACAAGTTTCTTCACCTGTGGACAAGTTTCTTCACCTGTGGACAAGTTTCTTCACCTGAGGACAAGTTTCTTCACCTGTGGACAAGTTTCTTCACCTGTGGACAAGTTTCTTCACCTGTGGACAAGTTTCTTCACCTGTGGACAAGTTTCTTCACCTGTGGACAAGTTTCTTCACCTGTGGACAAGTTTCTTCACCTGTGGACAAGTTTCTTCACCTGTGGACAAGTTTCTTCACATGTGGACAAGTTTCTTCACATGTGGACAAGTTTCTTCACCTGTGGACAAGTTTCTTCACCTGTGGACAAGTTTCTTCACCTGAGGACAAGTTTCTTCACCTGTGGACAAGTTTCTTCACCTGTGGACAAGTTTCTTCACCTGTGGACAAGTTTCTTCACCTGTGGACAAGTTTCTTCACCTGTGGACAAGTTTCTTCACCTGTGGACAAGTTTCTTCACCTGTGGACAAGTTTCTTCACCCGTGGACAGGCTTCTTCACCCGTGGACAGGCTTCTTCACCCGTGGACAGGCTTCTTCACCCGTGGTCAGGCTTCTTCACCCGTGGACAGGCTTCTTCACCTGTGGACAGGCTTCTTCACCTGTGGACAGGCTTCTTCACATGTGGACAGGCTTCTTCACATGTGGACAGGCTTCTTCACCTGTGGACAGGCTTCTTCACATGTGGACAGGCTTCTTCACCTGTGGACAGGCTTTTTCAGATGTGGACAGGCTTTTTCAGATGTGGACAGGCTTCTTCACCTGTGGACAGGCTTCTACAATCAATGAAGACAGCCCATAGGTGAAACATGACAAAGTTCCTCTCTACAACTGCATCTTTTTCACCACTTTTTGGCTCTGTGCCATTTGTCTCCATCATATATAAAATTACCCTAGAGTCAGATATGATGAGAGATTACGAGACTGAAAAGTAAAGATATACTGTAGTTTGAGTTGAAGTTATAATCAACCTGGAGTTTACCTGGAAAGGGTTTCGGGGGACAAGCCCCCGCAGCCCGGTCTGAGATCAGGCCTCATGGTGGATCAGGGTCTGATCAACCAGGCTGTTACTGCTGGCTGCACACAATCTGACGTACGAACCACAGCCCGGTTGGTCAGGTACTGACTTAGGTGCCTGTCCAGTGCCTTCTTGAAGACAGTCACGGGTCTATTGGTAATCCCCCTTATGTATGCTGGGAGGCAACTGAACAATCTTGGGCCCCGGACACTTATTGTGTTGTCTCTCATTGTACTCGTTGCGCCCCTGCTTTTCATCGGGGAAATGCTGCATCTCCTGCTGAGTCTTTTGCTTTCATAGGGAGTGAGTTTTGTGTGCAAGTTTGGTGCCAATCCCTCCAGGACCTTCCAAGTGTATATTATCATGTATCTCTCTCGCCTGCATTCGAGGGAATACAGATCAAGGACCTTCAACCGTTCCCAGTAGTTTAGGTGCCTTATTGTACTTATGTGTGCCGTGAAAGTTCTTTGTACACTCTCCAGGTCTGCACTGTCGCCAGCCTTGAAGGGGGCCGTTAGTGTACAGCAGTATTCCAGCCTAGAGAGAACAAGTGATTTGAAGAGAATCATCATGGGCTTGGAGTCCATAGTTTTGAAGGTTTTCATTATCCATCCTATCATTTTCCTAGCGGATGAGGTAGATACATTGTTGTGGTCTTTGAAGGCGAGATCCTCTGACATTATCACTCCCAGGTACTTCTCATTATGTACTTTTCTGATCTATTGTATGGTTAGAATTTGTGGTATACCCTGACACATTTTTAATTTCTTCAAGTTTCCCATATCTGAGTAGTTGAAATTTCTCTTCGTTGAACTTCATATTGTTTTGAGTGGCCCATTCAAAGAGTTGGTTGATGTCCACTTGGAGTCTCGCTGTGTCTTCGATGGAGGTCACTGCCATGGTAATCCAGGTATCATCCGCAAAGGGAGACACGGAGCTATGGCTTACATCTCTATGTCAGAAATGAGGATGAGGAATAGAATGAGAGCGAGTACTGTGCCTTGTGGAACACAGCTTTTTACCGTGGCTGCCTGGGATTTTACTCTGTTTACTATTACTCTTTGTGTTCTATTTGTCAGGAAGTTGTAGATCCATCTACCAACTTTTCCCATTATTCCTTTATCACGCATTTTGTGTGCTATTACACCATGGTCACACTTGTCGAAAGCTTTTGCAAAGTCTGTGTATACTACATCTGTATTTTGTTTATCCTCTACAGCATCCAGGACCTTGTCATAGTTGTCCAGTAGCTGGAATAGGCAGTAGCGACCTGCTCTAAACCCGTGTTGCCCTGGGTTACGTAATTGATGGGTATCTAGGTGGTTGGCTATTTTGCTTCTTAGAACCCTTTCAAAGATTTTTATGATATGGGATGTTAGTGCTATCGGTCTGCAGTTCTTTGCAACTGCTTTACTGCCACCTTTGTGGAGTGGGGCTATGTCTGTTGTTTTTATTGTGTGTGGGATAACCCCTGTGTCCATGCTCCCTCTCCATAAAATGCTGAAGGCACGTGATAGGGACTTCTTGCAATTCTTGATGAACACGGAGTTCCACAAGTCTGGGCCTGGGGCAGAGTGCATAGGCATGTCATTAATTGCCTCTTCAAAGTCTTGTGGAGTTAGAATAATATCAGAGATTTTTGGGATGACCAAATTTTGGGTTTTGTTCATAAAGAATTCATTTGGATTGTCGACCCTTAGTCTGGGTAGTGGCTCGCTGAACACTGAGTCATATTGCGACTTTAGTATCTCACTCAAGGTGATACTTTAAAATTCTGCCTCTCGGCACTCTACCTTCACCAGGTTCATTTTCTGAAGAGAACAATTCATGCAGAATCCTCTCCAAACTTTTTATCCACTATCAAGCAATTAATGTTCAAACAAACACACAAAATATATTTGCTGAAGATTTCCATGTTTTGCTTCCATTATCACTCAAATGAAACCATCACCACTTGCTTCCAGTATGAAGCAATAGTGTAATGCAAGTAAAGGCTGGGAGAAGTGCACCTGGACAAGTTAAAATCATGATTTAAAAAAAAAAAAAAAAAAAAAAAAAAAAAAAAAAAAAAAGGAGCATTTTATTAAGAGATGTGGATGGTTGGAGAGGGTAAGGGAAAGTGCTGAGAGAGGGGAGGGGGGGAGGGGGGGGGAGGGGGGGGGAGGGGGTGTTTGCACACACGTGTGTTCGTATATGGGGGAAGGGGAAGGTCTAACAAAACAATTAGTGCTAGGTTACAAGAACATCCTTGTACTTTTTCTTAGACAGACACACCCCTTATACTTTTCCCAAGACAGACACACCCCTTATACTTTTCCCAAGAGACACACACCCCTTATACTTTTTCCAAGACAGACACACCCCTTATACTTTTCCCAAGACACACACACCCCTTATACTTTTTCCAAGACAGACACACCCCTTATACTTTTTCCTAGACAGACACACCCCTTATACTTTTCCCAGGACAGACATACCCCTTATACTTTTTCCAAGACAGACACACCCCTTATACTTTTCCCAAGACACACACACCCCTTATACTTTTTTCAAGACACACCCCTTATACTTTTTCCTAGACAGACACACCCCTTATACTTTTCCCAAGACAGACATACCCCTTATACTTTCCCCAAGACACACACACCCCTTATACTTTTCCCAAGACAGACACACCCCCTATACTTTTCCCAAGACACACACACCCCTTATACTTTTCCCAAGACAGACAAACCCCTTATACTTTTCCTATGACACACACACCCCTTATACTTTTCCCAAGACACACACACCTTATACTTTTCCCAAGACACACACACCTTATACTTTTCCCAAGACACACACACCCCCTTATACTTTTTCCAAGACAGACACACCTCATATACTTTTCGCCAAGACAAAGGTGCTCCTCTGGTTTACACAAGATAGAGATCTCCATATTCTTATTAAGACATAGAAATGCCTAATTTTTTTTTCAACACAGAGAGATTATGTTCTTCCCATGATAAAGACACTCATATACTTTCCAAGATAGTGACCATGAATCTACCAGTAATAGTGATATAAACATGCTAACATTAATGTATCATAGCATTAGTTAGCAACAGTGCACATTTTGATTATTTTGATGCTCTATTACATACCAAAACCTGTCCTTTTGTTTCCCTCTTTTTTCTAATTTCTCTTCACTATTCTTTCTATTTTTTCCTGTTATGCCTCAGCTTTATTAGTCCCTTGACTGTCACAACCACAAATCCTGAGGTATCTCCTGGTGTTGAAAATTTTTTTTGAAGAAGAAAAAATTTTTTTCTTATGAAATAAGAGAATCTTTTCCCGACGGTAATGACACCAAAAGAACAAAATTTGTTGGAACACTTTCAGAATTACGCTCTCACGAAGTTAGCGACCTTGGCGATATTTATCAATCGACAATTTTGCCCACTTTGAGCCCTATTTTTGGCTAATTCCATTGTTCCAGTTGACCAAACTCATAGCTATTTCTTTAGAACTCCATTTGTTCTATCGACTAAGTACAAGAAACTGCCCATTTACTGATTTCAACTACCCAGTAACGATGTCAGAAATTTGCAATTTGGCCAATTTCACGCAAATTAAAAAATATGCCAATTTCAAAATAGGGTCCAGAATGAACAATGCACACATTCCTGGCTCTAAAATAACATTTTCTTTGTTCATCAGTCACATCTCCAGGCTCCTCTGATATCAC